ATATAAAGCTTTATAGCTTGAATATACTTAAATGGCTTTTAGAACTTAAAATAACATATAAAAATTGAATATTTATTATTTACTCTCAAATTATAATAGAATTTTTTAATTGCTTTAATGCAAACTAACTCAACTTAACTACATAAAAATTAAGACAATTTGAATACAACCAACTCAACCTTAACTATACTGTTATAGTCAGAATGATATATAAACTTATATAGCTTAATGCAAGAAAATTACAAAATAATCATTTTTATAATAAATAGAAGCAAACATTATATTATTATTAATAAATATTTGGCCTAATTTCTAATGATCTATTTTAATTCATAAGTAATTCTTCTAGAGTGGGAACTCAACTAAGTAAATCAAAACTATATTAGCTAAGTTGATCACCTTTACTATTAGATTTTTATCAGTAAAATTAAACTGATCGATCGAATGATTTATATATAATTGTTATTTAGTTATAAAGAAGCATAAAATTTTAAAGGATTCACACCAATAGTATACTTATTTTTCTAATTTCTTTGATCAGAAATGCCACATCAGAAATATTTCAAAATAGCTATGTTTGAATTTTTGCGAAGTACTTAATAAATTTTTAACTTGCATGTTTAAGATTAAATTTTTTATCATAATTAAAGAAATTTGACATTCTAAAAATGAATGCCCAAAACTCGCGTATTAATAAGGAATCTTGAAACACAGCTTATTCTTAGATATTTTATAAACATCTTGAAAAGTTTCAAGGTGATTCCACGTCTTGTTAATTAGTTTACTAACTTAGTTTTAATACTTAGTTTAGTTACTACCCATATGTACAAATGTACATACATACATTTCTGGTTTTGTGTGACAGCATTGCACAGCTACCTTAAATAAATTTCTAAAATAGCAAATAACGGTAATTCTAAAAAGAATGTTTTACCGTAACTCATGATAAAAATCATAGTACAAACAAACTCAACTTTACCAATTGTATACTGCGTTATCACTCTTTTCTATTTAGTTAGATTTGATCATTTTATGATTGTTTTGCTAGCTCAACAAGAAATTACCTAAATTTATTATATTTCAAAACTCATTTAAGTAATTACATATTTTGTAATCGTGGGACTTACTAAATAGAAAAGAGCAATAAGTTATGTAGCAAAATTTTCTACAAAAACTTATGGTGATTTCGTGATAATTTCGATGAAACTTAACTCAACCTTAACTGCTCACTACATGTCACTGAAATAGCAAGTAAGTTTTGTAAGAGAATTTTTAAAATAATTTATAGTAGAAATCACAGTAATTCAAACACATACAAACTCAACCACATTGATCAATAGAAGAAAGCAGAGGCACCGGCAGTGCCCCATCTAATCTAGTAAAATTATACTATTCTACTTTAAATTATGTAATTAAGCATTATAAAAACTATTACAGTATTATATACTTTGTTTTTAATACTGTAATGAATATATTTATCCATTCATTTTATATATCGATTGATATACAGTATATTATTACTGTACCTTCTCAACATATAATTTAATAACTGATTCCCAAGAAAAAGTTAACATATCATCGTGAGACTTATTTTAGAAATGTGTTGGGCAAATGCAGTAAGCTATACGAAATATAATTAATTTTGTGTATCAAAATATTACGATAGAATTTAATGTGAGCATATTTTGAATTATTTTCTATCATAACTTATTGTATAAAGTTTTGTTACGAAAATTTACAAACTATTATGGTGACAACTGTATGTGATTAAGTTAATTTAGTTTATGTTGGATTAGAGTCATAAATTCTATTATGATTTTTGTAAAAATTTTGGTTTAAAACTTGATACTATAATATACTGGTTATGTTGGAATTACGAATTCTTTAGAATTATAATATTTGCTATAAAACTTTCCATCATAACAGTATATAATTAAGATTGAACTAGCTTGTATTGGAATTGATGGTTGAGATTTCTATCATGATTACTTCAAATACTTTTGATACAAAACTTATTAACTAGTAATAATAATATCCTAATCTATTAGAAATTAGCAGAAACAAAGTTTCTACTTAAATCTATAATATATCCATGTGCCCAATAGATTATTTTATTTTATTTTATTTTTTTTTACCGATATATAATCTTTACTTTTTAAACATATATTTTTTTTAATTGTAACGCATCTCAAAACTCAGAGTGCTAATTTCCCTTTTAATGGTCCCTGGGTCTATGATCGAAGACACTATGATGCACTTATAGTTTTAGGTGCTAAGCTTGATCTTTTATCCGTAATCATATTTCCACCTGCTGAAAAAGCACGTTCAGATGCAACAGAAGATGCAGGTATCACTAGATAGTCATGAGCCATATGAGAAAGCTGAGAAAAATTTGCTTGGTTTGCCTAAATATTATATTAATTTTATTAAATATATTCGATATTATTAATAAAGTATCTCATCATTTAATAATTACCTTCCACCATGCTAACACATCAACTTCTTTATTGACTTGCTTCTCTGCGATGTAGCATTCAAGTTCATCAAGGTTATTATTATCATCAAAGTCTGTATCTAGCATAGATCGTGTAGAGAATTTCATGGTACTATTAGAGGAGGTGCTTGGTAAGATATTATGGTTGGGGGATATCGCATATTCTGTTTCAAAGAGATGGCGCATTCTAATAAAGCAAATACAGTAAAATACAAAAAGTAGATAATTACTAACTATGGTTAATAATAATTGTGGCTGCCAAAACTGGAATCGATGGAAGCTGCATATTCTTATATATAAAAAATTTTTAGTGCATTATTTTTAGTGCATTATTTTTAGCTTTTTTAGTTTTTTTTTTTTCTTTTTTAAAGTTAGGTCAGAGTTTGTTAGGATTGTTAATAAAGGTATAAACGAATTTTAGTAGAATTAGTAAATTTAATAAAAGCCCAAATCTCTGCCACAAGCATTATTGCAAGTTGTAAAAAGTACTGTTAAAAATGACTGCTAATAAAAGATACTGATAAAATTCAAAGTGAGTATGGTGTTCTTGTAAAGCACGCTTAATAGTTTTTTTGTAAAGTACATCTACTGATGCTTTCCTCCTATTTGTTTGCTAATTGTTTAAATTTTTTTAATTCATATTTATTAAAAGATTTCAGGCTAAAGCATTTTAATCTTCAATACTATGCTGATAGCTTAAATATGCCTTAAATTTTTATTATTTCAAGACTTCAAATTAATTGAAAGGTTTTAAAAAAAAAATTGACTTACACTGCTTTTGTTTTGTCGATTTCATTATCTAGAAATCCTCTTTTTACAAAATAAGAAAACTTCCTCCTTGGGTCTAACGCAGTACATAACAACATTGTTGTGTTGGTTTTGGAATAGTACTGAACTAATTTTTCTCTCACTGCTACAGCAGCTGAGAAGAGCAAAGCTAATAATTGAATAGTTGCATTTTATATAAATATACGTATAATATCAAATGAAATTCTAAATTTTAATATCTACATATAAGTATATATTAGTGAAAAATTAGTGAATAATAGTAATTTGGCAAATGAAACATACTGCTCTGCGGCACATGTAACCTATTATTTGACAAATTACTGTATTCGCCAATTTGCTCAATAATAGAGTTTTCTGACAATTTATAATCATGATTAGGGGATGGGCAATATAGTTTTTTATGCAATCGATATGTATTTTTTAATCTTTACATATATTGTAAATTATTATATATTATTACATAATTTTAAGAGTAATCGATCACTTGATAAAATTGTGAGGAATGAACATGAGGATGTACCAACGTGAGTTTGTACATCATTAATGTGATCAAAAAACCATGTTACCAATTAATGATGTAATTTCTTATTATTCCTATCGCTATTGCAACAAAATCTTAAATAAGAATATATATAAGAAATATGTAAAAATTTGCCCATCTCTAATTATGAATAAACGTGTTTACATCGTAACAAAAAATAATTTAATGATTATATGAGTTTGTCAGATAATATTACTTATATTTTACCTGATTTATTTTTTATACCCGAAGCAATATCTTCAACATGATCAAGAATAATGTTAAAGAGAGGAATGACCCAATATGCAATACTATTTGTATTTAATGACATTTTAATCGTGAGATCCTTAAATGGTTCAAGAAATCTAGCAATTTTTTCTAAGATGACCCACTGACTGTGTGAAATAGCGTATTGGTAAAAATTGTTATAAGAACTAGTCATAGTATTATATGCCTATGAAGTCATTATCGTTAGGGTTTGTGATTATTATGTGATTTTATATTACGAAATCATATAATAGCGATAGTGTTAAATGCAAAGTTTAAATTTTAATTTGCTATAACATACAGATTTAAGAAGTAATCCATTATGAATCATGTCGTGTGAAGAATTCCAACACATATGACAATCCAAGATAGGTTTAATAAACTTTATATTGCATGAATTACAGATATTTTCAAGAAGCTTGAGATGTTGGGGTGATGTGCGAATAGCCAAATTAAGTTCTCGAATCTTTTTTTTTATTAGTATATAATAATAATAATAATAATATTCATAATATTTATAATATTTATAAATACCATGTTAACTTCTTATTTTACATTATCTAGAGCTGCCTGTATAGCTAAATTAAGAATATGATTAAAGCAACTAAACTAAAAGCTTTCCGAATCCCATTTAATATTTAATTCCTTTAATTTTGCTTCCAATTCTTGTACAAGGACATTATTGTTCGTCGCATTATCTAGTGTAATGGCAAGCAACTACAAAAAAAAAAAAAAAATATTTGAGTATGATAATGATTATGCATAAGATTAAAAAAGATAAGCACTTTTGATGCGATATTATAATTTTCTAGCATTTTATAGAACCCATTTAAAATAATTAAACCGCTATGTTTTCCAGTGATTAATCCAAAATCGATAATTGTTTTCTGAAGAATCCAACCTTTATCTATATAATGAGCCATAGCAGAAATGAATGCCTTGTTGTTGGGTGACGTTCACAGGTCTGAAGTGAACAAGATTTTGGAATTATTATTGGAAAGGTGTGTCTATATATTGTAAGTTCAAATGAAAAAAATTCTTTAATAATTGTAAAGCTTTGCATTTTTTTCAAATTACTATTATTGGCAGTTTTTATACATCATACTATACATAAATCAGGAATCAGAAATAAGCACAATAGCTCGATTGATTTAATTGTTTAAAATAAAACAGATTCCTTCATTCAAAATTTATGCACACATTTAAAAAGCTAATGATTTTAAAATTCATCATGTTGAATAGCACGATTCGAATTCATTCGAACTGCCATTCAACATTATTACATGATTTCGTGGACATGCATGTTCGTGAAATCATGTGATAGTGTTGAACGACAGTTCGAATGGCAGTTTGAGTGGATTCAAATCATGTCATTCAACATGGTAAATTTTTTAAATTTTATCAGTGCAATTAATCAGAAGATCTAATATAACGGTAGATATTATATCAAATATGTAGTATATGTACAACATACATAAAAAATAGTATTTTTGTGAAAAGCGCGGGAAATTTTTTAAATTTACATAATTGTATAAAATCGGAGTTTTTGACACTCTTTTCATGTAACAGTATTATCTTCAATTCTTGTTTTCCTAATCTATAAAGTGCTATAACTTTACTTTTAATTGTATTGGCTGTGATTAGTTGTGCCAAGGGGTTCAAATATTGCAATATTTCGATTAATTCTGGATCTTCTATTATAGAAAATGGATGCTGATGATTAACGATCCAGCAGGTGAACATATTATAAAGCCTTATATTATCAACTTCTATAGAGGTAACTATAGAAGGCTAAAATAAATTATTTTAGTTTGAATTAGTTAAAAAAAAAAAACTTACTGTTTTACCAACAAAAGCTTTAATAGTTTCGCTTTCTTGAGTTTTTTTTTTTTCCTACTATATCCTTCTGTCAAGATATATTTTGCCCGGTGATTACTTTCTAAATGCTGCTATAGTGGTTTGGTTGTGCCATTAGTTCCACAAGAAAATAGCTTATGGCTGCAGTTTTTGCATTTTGCTATTTTGGTTTCTTTTGTCCACCCAATTTTTTCAAAGTAATCCCACATTTCGCTGCTGTTACTGCTACGCTTATTAGAGGTGCTAAGAGTACTAGCACTATCTTCATGCTCACTATCGTAGCCATTAGGCCGTTCGAAGTTAATTCTTCGGTTAACATCACCTTTAGAACTCTTGGGAGAGGGAGGGGGGAGGGGGTAAAATGAAACGAACATATAAAAATGGGCCAATTTCATTGGTCGACGTAAATCAAGTAATTGGCGAAAGTTATCCAGCGTTTTGATTGGTTGTTCGTTTATCGGGGGGAGACTTCAGAGGAGGGAGGGGGGATGATGTTAACCGAAGAATCAACTTCGAACGGCCTTATTAGGATCATTGCTTTGGTTATTATAAGAATCATTAATATAGATTTTATCATCATAGCTACTATCATGATCTGATACAGATATAATGTTCATCATTAAGTACTTTGAAGGTATATGCGAGAACAAAAAGCCTGACTTATTTTGATTATATTATGCAAGCACACCAATCTCTTTAATTGAAGACAAAACAAGTGCATTTTTATAACAACATGCAGAAAGAGAAAAAAAAGAACAAGTTTAAACTTTATCACATTATTTTTAATCGATTTCCACCTTTGGCTTCTGATTCATGACTAAATTTACCAAATTCATCTTTTTAAAAAAGTCACATCAGACATACAAACATGGTCACAATTCTAGCAGCTTTCTTACAGGTCTCGAGAGCTATTCTGTTAATTCTTGCTAATTCTATTTTCTTTTTCGATATCGGGTTGGTTATTCAAAAAAAGGGATCTGGTACTATTATTTTGCCAAATTTATATGGAGACTTGGCGGTGTTGGGCAGGTGGCTTAGTTTTTTTTCATAATCTTTTTTAGAAACTTGGCATTTTCTTCTATGGGCTCGGGCTGGGTACCGTGATATCTATTTTTTTTTTTTTTTTGATCAATTAACGATCTCATATACTTGAACTCATCTTTCCTTAAGAAAGTCATATCGGCACACAAACACAGCCACAATCCTAACGACTTTCTTACTGGTCTCAAGTTATTCTACTAATTCTTATTTCCTTTTTTTGCAATAGCCATATCGGGTTGATTATCACAAAAAATGGGATCTGGCACTATTATTTTGCCAATTTTATATGGGGACTTGGCGGTATTGGACAGGTGGCTCAACTTTTTTTTTTCCTGATCTTGTTTTGGAAGCTTAGCATTTCTTCTATGGGCTCGGCTATGTACCGTGGTATACAAATTTTTTTTTTTTGATCAATTCACAATCTCACATGCTCGAACTTATCATTCCTTTAGAAAGTTATGTTGGTATACAAACATGGCCACAATTCTTACGGGTCTCGAGAGCTATTCTACTAATTTTTATTTTCTTTTTCATGATAGTCATATTGAATTGATTATCACAAAAAACAGGATCTGGTATTATTATTTTTCCAAATTTATACGGGGACTTGGCGGTATTGGGCAGGTGGCTTAGCTTTCTTTTTTCCAGGACTATTTAAAGACTTGTCGCTAGAGAAGTAAATAGTTGAGTTATTTTTAGTATCTTTTTCAAAGTTTGCTTTAAAAAAACATTTATTTTATCTTTAAACCCTTGTGTCGTTGCTTCTAAAATATAAATTGTTTTTCTGTATTTAGTGCAAGTGCTTCGGGTACAAACAATTTCGATATGGACAATATTCAAGCAGCACTCGTGCTTATCGGCCAAGAATTTGAGAATCAACAAGATGTATTTGACAGATTAAAAACTTTAATTGAAACAAAATTACAAACTTTAGACGATAATTGTGGTCTTATTAATCCTGATTTTGAAACTTATGAATGAATTGTAAAAAGACCAACTCAAAAGGATAAAATACCTCGTACTGGTGCATTCTTTATCTTTAAGAAATTTTTGCAAGATTTTTTTGAAAAAGAAAAAGTCAAACCAGGAGGTACACTATTAGCATCAATCTCTGGTGCTATTTGGGAACATACATCAAATGAAATCAAGAATAAACACGAAATGGTTTTACAAGAAGTGAAAGCCAAATCAACAAAGTTTAATAAAAAAAATTCAAGTCAGCAAACACAAGATTTTACACAAACAAATAACACTAGCAGTGTATGTCCTACGCATGGAAACGCTTATGATCCTATTTTTCCAGGATGTAATCCTGAAAATATCATGTATAACGATAGTGACTTGTTTTAATTAAGTTAATATTTGTATATTTTTTATAATATTATTTTTTTTATTGGCAAAATCTATGTATTATATTATTCACCATGCAGTGTGGTGGATGTTTTTTTTTATGCTTTTTTTATTCCTTTTATGTAATTAAGTAATTAAGCCTTTATAAGTCCAATTAAGATTTTTTATGCTTTTTTAAGATTTTAATTATGTTGTACATGGTAGTTAATATATTGCACACATTTAAGTTATGTAATACACTATTAACAACTTACTTGGTTATTTACTAAGTATCTATATGTGATTTGCTATAGTAGAATTCACCTCTGTACTATCTTATCCTGCAATTGGCTTCAATAATACATCTTCAGCTGGTTTCTACTACCTGTTAAAACTACAAATTAACTTTTCACCAATCTGAATATTGCTCTTCTTCGATCTAAACTAATACCTCCTTTTTGGTGATTTTCTATTGTAGACAGTTAATTTTTATTTATTTTTTTTTTCTTTATAACTTATTACTATTATTATATTATATTATTTATTATTATCTTTTATATACAGTCAACTCTGTATATAACAAACCTTTTTATAATGAACTCTGGATATAACAAACTTAAAATTTTTTAATTTTTTATTAATTCAGTATAACAAGAACTACGGCTCTTAAGAAAACATAGTAATA